ATGTCTGCTCTGGTTCCTGTGACCAATCTTCGGGCACTTCCATGTCAGGCTCAGCTTCTTCCGTCTCTCAACCCACCGCATCCGCGTTGTCTCATTCCACACCCTCATCTTGCTCCTTCCCCTCTTCAGCCTCGCTGTCATGCTCCTCAAAGCCATCCTCAACCTCCTCTTCATCATCATCTGTACACTCGTCCAGTCACACACCCGATCAAAAGGTCTTAGGTTCGCCCCACCAAAAGGCCGATACTGAGACAAAAGCTGCACATTTTGATCACCATCAGCATCACGATCACTGCCACCACCACATTCATCATCATCATCATCATCATCATCATCAACAGCAGCAGCATCATCGGGATCAACAACAACCTTCGCGACGAGTTCATTTGGATACCTCCGGTCCACTCGGCAGATCTGAGGTCAAGCCTCACTCTACTGGCCCGTCGACCTCGGCTCCATTTCGCTCGAGCCTCCGACGACTTGGTACCTCATCAGGCAGGTCAGGAGGGAATAATGCCTCTCTGATTGTTGCAAAGACACCGGCCACCGGATCTGCGGCCAACATGGAACCTTCCGCCGACTGGTTGGTACGTGAATCCTGCAATGATGTCAAGACCTGGTGGAGCCTGCAACTTAACCCACTCTCTGGTCTACAGCTTCCTCCAGCCCCACAAAAACCCATCGACAGAATCACTATCGACAATAAACGAGCCTCCATTCATCCTCCTCCATTTGAGTCATCACTGACCTCAAACCCCTCCGAGGCCCAAAGATCTCTTGTAGGCAATCCGATATCGCGAGACCCAGCTGCGTCCAGATTCTCACCAGCTTGTATGTCGCCCACCGGCAATTTGAGGCCGATCCGTCAGTCCCACCGTACAGCCGTGTTTCGGACGGCCTCTTCGCATGCCAACTGGCCTACCAAATGGTCGAGTCCGCAGGAGTTGGCCGCCCAAAGCAGCCACACACAGACGGGAGGGGTACTGACACGACCATCTCCGACTCAGCACCAAGCCATTCTGTCGCATGAAAGAGTAAAAGAGGCTGGCCAGAAGAAGCAGTCACCAAGTCCTCGATACAGAGGCAACATTGGGCCGGCTCACACTGAACTCCACCAAAACCAAGTACACCAACAACAAGTGCCGCTATTGCCTCTGTCCGAGGAAAAGGTTATTGAAGGACCAGGCTCCCTCAGGAAAAAAGTACAATCTTATCAGTTGATAATGGAAAATAGCGCGGATTCAAAACCTATGCCCTCGTCTCCCTCGTCGCAGACTTCCATCGCCCACTTGGAAGCTGAAGAACCGACTCCAGCCCACGCGACGGATGCACAGATCAGAAGACCAGTTCGAGGCCAGGAGAAAATGAGAAGCAGCCTGGAAAGTTCAAGTATTAAAAATTTTAGCGCGTTCGCCTGATTATAAAACAAGACTGTGACTTAACTGCTATGCTCATCAGGAGCCAAACATTTTCTCAAATAGGACATCATAATCCACTTTCAAGATATAATGAATATAATAACAATACTACTTCTTATAGTTAGTCCCATTTTTGCTAAATGTTCTGTGATTTAAAATGCTTCATCTTTGGCCAGTATTACTCAAGAATGCGTTACGCCATACGTAGTATCTTTCAGTTTGCTCCTTCTAATCTGCTGTAAAATGTACTTTTTTATGTCCATCTTTTTAAAACCAAACATGAAATTGTATAAGCGCTTACATAGATTCTAGCGAAATAAAAAATTATCCTTCTTCCATGACTAAAATCCATTTTCCCAATCCAATATAAGCTGGAGTTAATGATGGCGCAAACACTACCCGATTACTTTTAGTAATATAGGGATCGTATCAACATCAAGTTAGAAAATGTCAATAGAACAAGACCTCTCTTGTCTTGTGAATCTTCGGGTATTGGGCACAATGGTCGAGAAAATGGCTTGTGTAGATTCTATACATATAAATCACCGAAGTGTTGGACATATCTGTAGCTTAGGTCGACTTAATATAGCCCTAAAATCAAACCCCAATTCTCCATACCTCCAAAACAGCAAAACTGCTGCATGCTACCCCTTTGTAGATTATTAAATTTTTTGACTTTATAGATATGCGAGATTCTCTAGTAAAGCCCCAACTTTGAGAATACATAAGACCTAAGGGAAATAAACGTAGTCAAGTTTTTAAAAGTGAATTTGAAAAGATTTGTTCATTCGTGAGCCCTTGTTAAACACCGTTTCAGGATGTCTATCGTTTTGTTAGGAATATCTCAGGGAAAAATTGCTGCCAACTAAAAACAACACGAAGCTAGGAGGAAAAAACACAACTCAAGGTTGTCAAGTTGATTAAGAAAAAAACTAGAAACAAAAGTCTATTCTAACATTTCGTATATTATATCCAGGCTAAATGCAGTAAGGCTATAGCAAAAACCTCTTTTAAGGGTAATTTTGTGAATCGTGTAAATTACAACACGGTAGATATGAAGACCAAGCTGATGTGGCCGCAATATTTTCTCAGTCTCCTTCCGATTTATAGAAGTGTGTTGACTCAGCTTTTGTAACTTGGTCTTGTTATCAAGGCGACTTAGTAGTTGTCATAATTCACAGCATCAGATATATGAGAATGCACCAAGTCCACGGTCTGATGCTGGGAATTAGGATGACTACTATGGAAGAGGACTTCGTACTACTAAGTCGCCCTGGCAACAAGACCAAGTTGCGAAAACGAGGTCATCATACTTCTAGAACGGGGTAATCCTAACAGCAAATTCTAAATTCAAATCAAGGACCACAGCAACAGACTTTTGGTATTAATTCATAAGCATACTTCATAATAATTCATAGCTATTAATATTAAGTCTACCTGAAACTGTTTCAAAACATGACTTTATCATCTGTATAACACTAATTATCTAAAATACTATTTATGAGAAGCCTGCTGTCCCTTCAAAGTAATGCAATTCGAGTAAGCTATTTGGGCTAGTCTTCACTCTGAACTAGCAAGTAGAAGATGTGGATAAAGCTAGTTTTAGAAATTTCAAGGGAATGTAATTGACAATGATCTAAAACTGATACATTGCAATCTAAGGATCTAGGTATGTACATAGTTGATGGTACGATGTTTTAAATAAAAAGAGGACATTAATACAAGATAATTTATCTAAAGTCTCCTTCGCAAAAATGATGATCTGCCAAAAGCCGATTAAACAAAGTCTTCAGAGTGAAATAAGACCTTGATGTAAGCAAAGCCACCGCCGTCATGATCGCCATTTCTGCAATCGCAATTGCATTCTTTAAATCTTGATGGGATCTTAATGCGATCCAAAAAAGCTCGAAGCTACCCTTCAGAATGTATAGGAACCTCCTTTTGAAATCCTTTAAGAAGGAAATTTGAATATAAAATCCTGAAAATATCGTTGTTATCTACTTTATAAACATACGAAAAGGTATATATCGAAAGCAAAATGTTACGTCAACATGAATAACTACTTTTGACTCAAATATAAGAAATGTACCATCAAACAAAGATTAAGCCTACAGTTTTTGGGGATAAGATCGAAATAAATTATCCATCAAACCCAAGATGTTTGCATTAGTCCAGCGAAGTAGTGAATATTTTAGTGATGTTTCATAAATAAATTAATTAATATATAGATATATATAACTATATATCTATATAATATTATATTTAGGAATTTATCCCAAAACTAGTATTAAATC